AGCTGCCCATGAGGCTCTTACCATGGCCGGGCTGCGGCCCCATAGCTGGAGCCGGGTCGAGGTGAGAGCCACATGCAGGCAGCTGTGGGGAGTCGTGGACCCTCCTGCCTTGGGTGGGGGCCTGAGGAATGGGAACACAGGCTGCTCGCAAACACACACACACACCCCTGCTCTGGGCAGGTGGAGGGTCCCCGGTTCCCGGCCTATTCCAGCTTCTGGCTTGCTGGGCAGAAGGGGCGGGGGGGTCCTAGCCCCCCCACTTTTGGGCAGGCTTTGCCGCCCTTGATCTTTGAAAACTCATGGAGAAGTACGTAGTACCTATCTTTAAAAAGAGGAACAAAGAGGACCTGGGGTATATATACAGTCAGCCTAACTTTGATACTTGGAAAAACACTGGAACAAATTATGAATCAGTTTGTAAGTACCTAGAGGATAATAGGGTGATAAGTAATGCACAACATGGAATTGTCAAGAACAAATCATGCCAAACGAACCTAATATCCTTCTTTGACAGGATGATTGGCCTGGTGAAAAGGAGTGACACAGTAGATGTGATATATCTTGAGTTTAGTAAAGCTTTTGACAGTCCCACATGACATCTCATAAGCAAATTATAGAAATGTGGTCTAGACCAGTGGTTCTTAACCAGGGGTACACATAACCCCGGGGTTATGCAGAAGTCTTCCACAGGATACATCAACTCATCTAGATATTTGCCTAGTTTTACAACAGTCTACATAAAATGTACTAGTGAAGTTAGTACAAACTAAAATGTCATACAATGACTTGTTTATACTGCTCTATATACTATACACTGAAATGTAAGTACAATATTTATATTCTAATTGATTTATTTTATAATTATATGGTAAACATGAGAAAGTAAGCAATTTTTTAGTAATAGTGTGCTGTGACACTGTTGTATTTTTATGTCTGATTTTGTAAGCAAGTAGTTTTTAAGTGAGGTGAAACTTGGGGGTATGCAAGACAAATCAGACTCCTGAAAGGGATACAATAATCTGGAAAGGTTGAGAGCCAGTGGTCTATCTGAAATTACTATAAAGTGGGTCCACAACTGGTGGAAAGACTGTACTCAAAGAGTAGTTATTAGTGATTCGCTTTCAAACGGGGATGATATATCTAGTGGAGTTGCACAGGCATCTGTTCTGTGTCCAGTACTATTCAATATTTTCATTATTTGGATAATGGAGTGGAAAGTATGCTTACAAAAGTTGTGGCTGACACCAAGATGGGAGGAGTTGCAAGCACTTTGGAGGACAAGATTAGAATTCAAAAGGACCTTGATACATTGGAGAATTTGTCTGAAATTAATAAGATTAAATTCAATAAAGACAAGTGGAAAGTACTACACTTAGGAAGGAAAATCAAATGCAAAACTATAAAATGGGAATAACTGGCTAGGCAGTAGTACTGTAGAAAAGAATCTGGGGGTTATAGTGGTTCACATTGAATGTGAGTTAACAATGTGATACAGATGCAAAAAAGGCTAATATTCTGGGGTGTATTAACAGCCACGTTATATGTAAGATTTAAGAGGTAATTGTTCTGAGTTACTTAGCACTGGTGAGGCCTCAGCTGCAATACTGTGTCCAGTTCTGGGTGCCACACTTTAAGAAAGATGTGGACAAACTGGAGAGGAGAGCAACAAAAATGATAAAAGATTTAGAAAACCAGATCTATGAGGAACAGTTAAAAAACTGGGCATGTTTAGTCTTGCGAAAAGAAGACCGAGGGAGGACCTGGTAACAGTCTTCCAATATGCTAAGGGATGTTATAAAGAGGACTGTGATGCTCACCATCAACCAGATTGCCTTGAGCAACAACAGGAAATTAAGCATAGCGAATACAGTAACTCCTCACTTAAAGTCATCCCGGTTAATGTTTTGTTTGCTGATCAGTTAGGGAACATGCTCGTTTAAAGTTGCGCAATGCTCCCTTATAATTTTGTTTGGCAGCTGCCTGCTTTGTCCACTGCTTGCAGGAAGAGCAGCCCGTTGGAGCTAGCTGGTGGGGGCTTGAACCAGGGTGGATTGGCAGCTCCCCTATCAGCTCCCCGCTCCCCTAAGTTCCCTGTGCGACAGCTTCCCAGCAGGCTATCAATTGCCAGGCAGTTCAGCTGCTCCCCCCACCCCCGCCATGTGCTGCTCCTGCCTTCTGCCTTGGAGCTGCTCCTGGGAGCCTTCTGCTTGCTGTATGGGGTGGAGGGGGGAAAAGAGGGGCTAATGTCAGGGTGTCCCTCTCCCCCCTGCTCCTGCCGCCCGCTTTTCCCATCTCCATAGAGCACGGGGGAGACACAACAGAGCTCAGGACAGAGGGAGCTTGCTGGCAGCAGGGGCTGTCTCAACTTGCTGATCTACTTAAAAAGGCAATGTACTTAGAGTGGGGTCAGCATACTTAAAGGGGCAATGCGCATCTCTCTCTCTCACGCACAGGGTGTTTGTCTCTGTCTGCCAATCTGTCTCCCCTACCTCCATTTGTGCTGCCTTATAGAGTGTGAGGCTACATTAACAACAATGTGTTAACCCTTGAGGGCTCAGCTGTTCTAGTTCATCCATTTAGCAGTGAGGCATTCCCTGGGAAATATCCCAACCCCCTTCCACCCTCTGACTTCACCACCTCAACTAAGCTTCACAATCATCATTGCTGTGTACAGTTTAAAATTGTTTGTTTAAAACTTATACTGTGTATGTGTGTATATATATATATATAGATAGATATATAAATATATATATATATATATAGTCTTTTGTCTGGTGAAAAAATTTCCCTGGAACCTAACCCCCCCATTTACATTAATTTTTATGGGGAAATTGGATTCACTTAACATTGTTTTGCTTAAAGTTGCATTTTTCAGGACATAACTACAACCTTAAGCGAGGAGTTACTGTACAGGTATTCTCATATGACAGGTCCATCACATCATAGAGATGTTTCTTCATTTGCCACGTATGCTTCCAACTCCAAGGGACCTACTGATCTGTCTCAACCCAGAGAAATTAAAATTAGCAATGTGGAACTTTAAGGCCTGAACCTCCTTCAGTTCAGCAATTCTTTTTGACTAATGGATCAAATCAAGGTATTAATTTATTTCCAGAATCTACAATCAACTATCTCTTTGCGCAGACTTCAGCATCTGAGGCTCTCAAACTTGCTAGATGCAGACAGTGTAGCAATTCACCCTCCCAGCTCAAGATGTATCAAGGCCATTGCAAAGTTTCAACCATCAGTTAAATATCTTATGGCTTATTGGAACTTAAATTTGCTTCTCCCTACATTGATGGAGCTTCCATTTGAACCGCTGTCTGAAGTTGCTGGGTTTTTTCCTTTTCAGTGAAAGTCACGTTTTCAGAGACAATATGAACTCTAGAAACAATTTCAATTCAGGAACGGTTTCTTTATTTTCTTAATAAGATAGTCTTCTTCATAGCCCCAGAGTTTCTCCCTAAAAAAATATTATCTTTTCATATTATTCACTATTCACTTATTATCCCATTATTCACCTAAGCCTTTCTCATCCTAAGGACATTGAAGTTTCACTTTCTGGATGTGAGAAGGGCCATAAAATATAATCTAGAAATGATGGAAGCCTTTTGAAAATAAGATACTTTATTTCTGGTGTATACTGGTTAAAAAAAAAAGGCAACAGAGTATATAAAGCAACCGTATCCAAATTGGTTAGAGCAGCTTATTGTTAAAGAAAAGCAGATAAGGATAAGAACATAAGAATGGCCATACTAGGTCAGACCTGTGGTCCATCTAGTCCAATATCCTGTCTTCCAACAGTGGCAAATACCAGATGCTTTGAAGAGAATGAACATAACATAGCAGTTTATTGAGTGATCCATATCTGGTTGTCCACTCGCAGCTTCTGGCAGTCAGAGACTTAGGACACTCAGAATATGGGGTTGCATCTCTGACCATCTTGGCTAATAGCCATTGATGGACCTATCTCCATGAACTTATCTAATTCTTTTCTGAACCCAGTTATAATTTTGGCCTTCACAACATCCCCTGACAATGAGTTCCACAGATTGACTGTGCATTGTGTGAAGTAGTATTTCCTTTTGTTTCTTTTAAGCCTGCTGCCTATTAATTTCATTGGGTGACCCCTGGTTTTTGTATTATGTGAAGGGGTAAATAACATTTCCTTATTAACTTTCTCCATGCCATTTAGGATTTTATAGACATCTATCATATCCCTCTTTAGTTGTCTCTTTTCCAAGATGAACCGTCCCAGTTTTTTTAATCTCTCCTCATCTGGAAGCTGTTCCATCCCCTAATCATTTTTGTTGCACTTCTCGGTACCTTTTCCAATTCTAATATATACATTTTTAGATGGGGCGACCAGAACTGCAAGCAGTATTCAAGGTGTGGGCATACCATGGATTTATATAGTGGCATTATGGTATTTTCTTTCTTATCTATCCCTTTCCTAATGGTTCCTAACATTCTGTTAGCTTTTTTGACTGCCGCTGTATATTAAGCAGATGTTTTCAGAGAACTATCCACAATGACTGCAAGACCTCTTTCTTCAGTTGTAACAGCTAATTTAAGCCACATCATTTTGTATGTGTAGTTGGGGTTATGTTTTCCAGTGTGCATTATTTGCATTGATCAACATTGAATCTGCCATTTTGTTGACAAGTAACCCGGTTTTGTGAGAGCTCTTTGTAACTCTTTACAGTCTGCTTTGGACTTAACTACCTTGAATTTTCCCTCCTTTGCAAATTTTGCCATTTCACTGTTTACTCCTTTTTCCAGATCATTTATGAATATTTTGAACAAAACTGGTTCCAGTTCAGCACTCTGGAGGACACTGCTATTTACTCCTCTCCATTGTGAAAACTGATAATGTATTCCTATCCTTTGTTTTCTATCTTTTAACCAGTTACTGATCCGTGAGAGGACCTTCCCTCTTATCCCATGACTGATTGCTTAAGAGCCTTTGGTGAGGGACCTTGTCAAAGGCTTCCTGAAAGTCCAAGTACACAATATCCACTGGATCACCCTTGTCCACATGGTTGTTGACCCCCTCAAAAGATCAATGGGAAGAGAGAAATACAGTGTCTGTGACAAAATTTGAAGAGCAATGACCTGGGCATTGATCCATTCATTTACAAAGAATTACAAGGTGGATATTGTTTCCTTGTTTGATTGGGCTTTTAGTCACCAAGTTCAGCAGTCTGCTATGAAATCTTATTTCCTTCCTTATCTTTTCCTCTCTTCATCCCATTTTGCTTGCTAATTCCCAACAACCTCTCCCTCCAGACTGATAGATTTTTATGTATGAATAAAAGGACAATTTTGCTATTACCTGCTAATTTGTCTTCTAGTAGCACAGAATCTATCAGTACAGATGATCCTTCCATTCAGTTAAAATGTTTGCCACTTTGCAATTTGTTTGTTATAATTATCTTTTAATAATAATGATACCTAGCACTTAAAGAGCACTTTTCATCCATAAGCTGTCTCAAAGCTCTTTTAGACATTTTGGGTGAGATTCTGCACTGCTCCTCTAAGAGACACAGCACAATATTCACAACCCAGGTGGGTCTGAGGTGGCTTTAAACCACTTTTGCGCCCTCTCAATCCTGGGCTGCTCCACAGCCCCGGCATAATGCAGACAGTCGCAGAGGCCTAAATTATAACAGTCTCCCTGAGCAGCCCTCTGAGCCACAGTGCTGCACAGAATCTCTGGGCTGGTCTACACTGGGGGGGGATTGATCTAAGATACGCGACTTCAGGTCGAAGTATCTTAGATCAATTTACCTTGGGTCCTCACGGCGCGGGATCGACGGCCGCGGCTCCCCCGTTGACTCCGCTACCACCGCTCACTCCGGTGGCGTTCCGGAGTCGACGAGGAGCGCGTTCGGGGATCGATATATCCCGTCTTAACGAGACGCGATATATCGATCCCTGATAAATCGATCGCTACCCGCCGATACGGCGGGTAGTCTGGACGTACCCTATGCAATGTTGAATCTCAACCCCTGACAAATCCTCCCACCTCCAGTCATGCCCTCCTGCTCCAGGGCTTTGGAGGGGGGTCCACAGAAGGCAGCCTTATGACTGTCTTCCTCAGTTCCTGTGCCAGGGGTATCCTACCCTGGCCAAATAAGAGCCTCTATACACTTTTCTGACCCTTTTAGAGCCGCTATACACTTTTCTGACCCTTTTACCCAGCATAAAGGGCCAGAGCATGGGGTGTCACCCATTGTAACTTTGAAAATTTCTTTCTGGAGATGTGACACACTATGAGCTCCCTTCTCAGGGGGAGCTTTGAATCCAGATCCTTTCCAGATGACCTAGCTCTGTGATCTTTAATGGCCATGGTTAACTCAACAATCTGCTTCCCGACCAATGAGTTTTATGTCAAATATACAGTTAAACAAAATGTTCCTAATTCTTTTAAATTTGGTTGTGTTTTAGATTTTCTATGGCCCTTGTCACTGTAGTATCTGAACGTCTTTCAATATTTATGAATTTAGCTTCACAATACCCTTGTGAGGTACAAAAGTGTTAATCAACCTCATTTTATAATTTGGGAAACTGAGGTGCAGAGTGGCTATGTTCTTGCCAAAAGCCACACATGGAAGTCAGGGAAAGAGCCAGGAATATGATCCCAATCTCAGCTCCCAAACCTGTGTCTTGGCCACTAGACCACCCTTCCTCCATCTTGATGTTGATGTAACATCACGAGTATAGTTCAGTTTGAAGTGTCAGATAGAGCTGTAGCCAGCAATCTGCAACTTCTGAGGAGCTAAGGGAGTGGGGGTGAAGGGAACAAGGTTTACATTCCTAATGCATCAATTAACCCTGCTTATTTGAGGATATTCAGCAAATCATATTAAAGATGCTTGATTCTTGAATTTTATATTTGCAGGTCACCTTTGTCTACAGTGCTGATATATATAATAATGTAATGTTTTATGGCTCTCATAAGCACAAAGCGTACAAACTCTATGTCTAAGGTAAGTTAATTAACATTCTTTATGGTATCCCTCCCTAAAAAATATTGCACACGTACAGAGAAATACTCAGTATCTAACTGAAGGCTCAATTCTGTCTTTAAGGCAGTCCTGAGTAAGGGATGCTGCAGAGCACAGCAACTTCTCAGAGGGAGCTCGGGGAGAAAATCTCTCCCCGAGCTCCCCAGTGCACAGGCAGACTGTGCATGCTCCACTAGCTCTTAACATAGTGGAGTATGCTCCCTTCTCTGCATCTGGCCAGTGGGGGACATAGCCCCACCTCCTCCTTCCCCTTCTGGGGCTGGTTCACTCCTCTGAATTCAGAAACTACAGTTCTGTCTGCACCTTCTGAGGAAGGACTCTTGTGCACCACCCTTCACAGCCCCTTTAGTCCTCTTGCAGACATGCAAGGCTGGGCTCAATCTAGCCTGTATTACTATATTACTAGGAACTATATATATATATTCTCTCATTGGCATTTGAGTCGTTGTTCTAATGCTTGTAAGTGACAAAAATCTGTAGGAGTTACAAAACGCAAATAATTGTATTAATTATTTAGCTTTTTTCTTTTTGGCTCTTCAGCAGTATTTGTCCTACAGATCAGCATTACAAAACTGAGTTGAAGTAAAATCCAAACTGACAGGTAGCCCTTACTCATGCAAATAGTCCCTTTGACTTTAATGGGACCTCTTGTGTGAGAAGCGTTTACAGGATGAGACCCTATAACAATTAATAGATTTTACATGGAAAGGTTGCCAAAAATTCGTATTTAGTCAATAGTACATGAAGATTGTAACAGGCAATCAAACAGTATCATATAATGGATTTTTTGGGTGAAATTAGTGATTTTATTAAGCAAAGGTTGTTCACGTGCATGTAACATTCAATCAGTAATAGGCAAATTAAAAGTTAAAACACGTGTAAAACAGTAGTTTAAATACTGAATATTGAATATTCTGGATTTTGCCAGTTTGTCTTAAAAGCATAGTGTTTTTTTAAAGTTTTCTGCATTTATATTTCTTTTTTATAATCTTTTATGTAAGGTTAAAAATGTGTTTTATTCACCTGATAGACTTTTTGAATTTTCCTAATTTGCATTTATCTTTTATACCTGCCAGGTTGGAATGGCTACTTTGTGATCTGTATTATGTGCATATTTGTAGCCTGTGTTAAGTGCATGCTTATACATTTTTTTTAAAAAGTGCATTATTTAATACCCTGCAATTGCTAATATCATGTACAATATTACATGTACAGTGATATTCAATACTGTACAGTAATATCATATACAGTATTAAGAACTACTATACATATATAATAGAAAATCTTATAAAAAGTAATTATACATGTGTAGTAGTTATCTTTAAAAATTAATATCTTGCCAGCTTTACTTGCTTTTATTCTCAAAATACTAAGTATATGACTCTGTTATGGAGCATTAATGCAGGACTTGAAAATCATACTAGATACTTACTGGTACTAGTCAGAGGACTAAATCCACAAACCAGAAATAGATACAAAAGAGGGGGACAGGGAAGAATGGATGAAAGATGGGGCTCCCTGCCATAACCAGGTACTAGAAATGAGAAGTTGTACAGACATTTCTATAAAGATGTTGCATATAGTTGCCAGTCAACAGGAATCATAAGTTTCACCCCTTTCTAGCTTCTGGAAGAGAAAAGGGAGGTTTCTATCCCTTCTCCACTTTTCGAGAGCGTTGTGGCTTCTATGAGAGGGTGGTTGAATCTGTGCTACTTTACTTCTCCCTCAGCCTCCATTTCTTTGATCTGTTCTCTATCCCCTATTCCCCTACCCCTATGAATAACTGCAGTACCTCATTCTGAAGTTAATAGTTTTGCCAGACAGGGACACCAATATGATATTGACATTACTGACAATTTCACAGTTAGTCATAAGACTCTGGACTACAGATGTTCATCTCTGCAGAGCTTTGTTAATTTCACTTTGCTACTACTTGACAAAGTGATGAGCAGCAACAGAGGCATTGGAACTGTCTGCCTGCAGACCCAGGAGGACAACACTGCATCATTAACCCTTCAAATGTGAACTATGGTAATATTCACAACCTAGAGAACAGAAGTGTACTTTATTTTTCAAATGAAAGCTGCAGATATTAATGGCTTACCCTCCTATGCTCACCAGAGAATTTTTTTTACTCTCATTTGGAAAGTGGATGAATAGATTTTCCAAGTGCTGCATTAATAACACATAATAGACTAAATGTATTATTTCAGTAAACAAAAGTGAGATATAGAAATAACCTGATTCAGCTTTTGTTTTAAAATTTAGAGGTATATTCTGTCCTGTTTCAAATACAAAAATCTCATTGATCAGAAAAATATGACCCACAATATTTGCTACCTAATAGCTAAAATTAAAGGAGAGCTAGAGTTTTTTAAAGTGCTAAATGTGTTTTTATGTGTCAGATGCTCCAAATAGTAAGGAGTGGAGGGGCATTTAACAAATAATTAAATGTAACAAATATTTTCTCCCCTATTTCAGGTACTCTGAAATTGCACGGACTTACTGCCAACCACTGTAAAGTCATGGCTACCACTGAACCCTGCTAGAGCCTGGAGCTGATGCATAAGGGCTCAAGTATATGACTTTCATTATATGTCATGGGTTTGTAATTTTTTTTTGCACAACCATACTGTTAAATAATAATAATTCCTGCCACTTACTGGCACAATTCTTGACCAGAATCACAGTAGCTGTGATGTTGCAGCAGATCAGCGGTCCACTGACACAAATTTTAGAAGTCTAAAAAGGGGAATGAAAGGGGAGATTAATTTGAAATTAGTCATATGCTAAATGTCCCACTTATGCTTATTTAGCTGAGGTAATCACAAGAAAAAAAGTAACTCTTTTAAAAAATAAAGTTTGTATTTTTTAGAAAACTCCCAGAGTATTATCTTGTATGAACTCTGAACATTTTGTATTTTAACATAAAAGTAATTAATAATTACACACTGTACATATGGAAATACAGGTTTGATCCTCATAATGAATTAATACAATTTAGCTTTCTTTAATGTGTATGCTACAGGGCGGATTCTAAATTCCAGTGTATTTTTTACATTTAAAACAAATGAGACTATTTATGAGCATAGGGATATATATGTGTAATACAGAAAGTATGCATATTTTATTTACTGAACACTAGTGCCTTCACACAACCTATTTTTTGTTGACATTTGTTTATTTTCTCTGGGAGAATGACAGATCTGCAGCACAACATAATACCAATCCAAAGGCCAGAGTTTCAGAGCAGACTGGATTTCAGGTAAATAGAAACTGATCCCATAGTGACAGTGATGGCCCCACACTTCCTGCTTCAGCTTTTGAAAGACCTCCCCACCAGCTAAGTCATTAAATCACTTCTTGTTTCCAGACAACTTTGGAATTTATTTTACACTGCTACCATTCAGACTACTTACAAGGACAGAATGAACTGTTCTAGGCCCAGATTCTCTGATGCACCAAAGCTCTGGTAAATGTAGCAGAATTGGGGAGCCATCCAGTAGCTGGTTATAGCTCTCTGATCTCTGCCCAGCCATGTCTCTGGTACAAGTTTGAGCACCCTAGGGGCAGCTCTAATTTACCTAAGCTGACATTGATCCCTAATTGACTGTCCACCAGCTGGAGTGCAGTGATCTTTAGGCATATTTCCTAGGATGGTGTTGCAAAAGTAACCTATGATGGCTCTTTGCCTGCTGGGACTTACCCACATCAAGGGAATCCTCAGCAAGTGAGATAAAGGGCAGTTTTTATCTTTTTGTCCCAATTCTCACCCATTTTTCTTTAATCAAATTAGAAATTATGAAATGCTTGGAAAAGAGCACATTAGATTGCTTATGAAGGTATATTAACAAGAAAACAACAATAATTTACCTAATTAAGTATATGCTGAAAAATGTACAAAGTTATCTACTTGGTTAATGAAAGTTAGTGTAGTGTCATTGATAGCGTGTTACTGTTATACCATAATCTGAAAAGGTGTATGTACTCCAATCTTGTGCAATAAAACATTTGGAAAACAACAAGGCTTAGAAAAATGTAACCTTATTAAAAATATCTAAAATTTGAAATCCTAAATGTGAAATTCTTGCTTTCTTGTGTAGAGGAAATAGAGCAAAGACACAATATAACAGAGAAAGCTAGCAGGACAAAGGAGATACTATTGACTCATTCCAGACTGCCAATTTAGCAGCTCAAACTTAACTTCCTTTTTACTTTTGTAACAGTAGGGAACTCAAAGCTTTTCTGTCTATTTTCTGCACAAATAGAAACACACAAACTTCAAAAAGTAATAGACTACTTTGAAGAAACCAAAACCATCAACAAGTTAAAAACTGTATGTACCACTAAACTGAAGTCCATGATTCTTACAGTTTCCACTGGGTAAATGTTTATTATTTAGTTGTATTTTTAGGTTACTGCACTAGAGGGAAAAAAAAGTTTTTTTCACCAAATATCACTGTCTGTAAAACACTTTTTGTTGTTTTTAGTGTGATATGGATTTATTGACTTTGCAGTGGGTAAGTACTACTTCAGTATTTTGACAAATTTAAGAAATGAAAAATTGCCTTTGATGTCTCAAGTATACATTGTAATACTTTGGTAATTTTATAATGTTAAAATGATAAAACAGGAAAAAATAAGATAGGATATGAGGATTAATTTTTGGACTCTGTATTCAAACATGCTTTTCTATTATTTTTAAATGTTTATTTTGTGCAGAGATTAACTTTTGAACTAAGGTGTACCATTTATTGTCCTCTGTCACAAACCTACTATGACTGGCCAGTAAATGTCATTGTTCCTATAATTTGTATAGTAAGAAATACAGTATCAAAAGTATATTCCTAGGAATTTCACAACACTAGGATGGTTTTCTGTGTGTTCTACCTTGTTCATATAAAATATTTGAGACAGCAGTTTAGCTGTTTTGTGTCCAGAAATAAAACTTAAGTCTCTTATGATAAATTGCTTCCTGAACATACAGTATTTGTTTAAAATGTCCAGTGTAAATTAATCATCATTATGTAAAGCACCCAAACATGGTATTAACTGTGATACTAAGGTAAACATTTCAAATGTTAGAAATCTAGTTTTACAACAGAGCTACTTTACAGTAAGCAATGCTTTTAAATCTAGAGGCAAAACAATGGATTTTATACTTGTTTATTATTAAATCCTGAACTGTATTAGTACACCTGGAGCCTTTAAAATGCACCAGCTGTGATTCACATTTCCTTTAACATATTACCAAAAGACAGACATGTTGGGCGCTATCAGAATATTTCTCAGTTATGAAGATTTGTGCAAAGCCTGAGTGACCAGGTTCCTTTTTCTTGTTATAACAGAGGTAGGCTAAACAAACAGAACTAGCATGTAATGAAAAGCTCCACTTATCATAGATTTTGCTATTTTGAAACGACTGAAATTAGATCATTTTAAAATCATGATCGAGACTCAGAAAAACAGGGCCCAGTTAGAACCCATCCCCCATTTCTCCAAATACAGAAAAGCTTCTGTGTGCCTCTCAAAAGTTTGCTTATCGATTTGAGAGCAGAACCCCACCCTTATTGAAAAACAAACCAACCAACCTCCAGTATTGTATAGGAATGACCCCAAACAGCGGTACGTTTAGTGGTTTGGACTATACTGTAGCACACTAGAATTCTTTCCTTATGCTGATGGCTGCTATTTAATAAACGATGTAGGTTTTATGGGTAACAAGTCCCTTCGTGACTGTATTGTCCGACCTATTAACTATTCCTTCTGCCAAGCTGTTGCCGCTCAGTTTCTGGGTGTTGGGAGCCATGTAATGGAGACACATGGAAGGTGGAAGTGATATAGGATGAGAGAAATTGGCCCATGAGTGCCAGAGGCTACTGCCAGGCTACAGGCTCTGTCCCTTGTCTTGCTTGTGCAAGACTGGCTCTGGTGTCTGTCCCCTCCCTAGCTAAACAAAACCGCTTGTAACTCCTGAATGTTATTGCACAATGGGAGGAGGCTCCTTTTCAACAGGGCTGGTCAGTGTCTCCTCCCTCTTTCGCCCGCCCTCCTGTTGGCTCTCTGGAAGGAAGTGGGGATCACTGGGCACTTTCCTCTTGGGGTGCTATGGAAGCCTGAGCCCTCATCGTCCCTTCATACTGCAGAGCGGCTTCATCCAGGATCCAGGGGAGGGAGAAAGGTGGGAGGGAGCCAGCGGAAGGGCCCGCCGCCTGCTGTTGTCAGGGTGGCGGTGACTTCATTCTTTTCTTAATATAGAGTCGGTTGTCAGGCTCTGGACAGAGCCGGGCTGGAGGGACTGGCTGTCAATCACATGACGTCACAATACGCTTGTGTGAGCACTGTAAACACTAGGTTCTGGTCATTATAGCTCTATGTGTGAGGGCGCGCGCGCCTGGGCTGCTTGTGTCCCTCTGTGTGCCTGGGACCGTCTCAAGCACACTGCTCCCTTCCCCTCCGCTTTCTGTGAGAGCAGTGTCGTTGCCTCCATGATATCTCACGGTGTAGAGCTCCAAAGGTAACATAATTGGAGGGGGATGATGTAATTCTCTCCCTGGCCAGTAGCTGCCTACGCTTGCACCGATCCCCTAGTTACTGGGGAGGGGGTATATCAGCACAATATTAGCTGCCCCCAACATGCCGTGCAGACTGGGGGAGGCTGATCCCCCAAGCAAGCACAAATGCACTCCCTTTTAATCCGGAGTGGTGGTGAAAGGTGGAAGATCCTCTCTGTCTTCAGCTCCGGCAGCAGATTGGGTAGAGGCGAGCCCAGTACAGCGTGTGTGCAGTAAACACGGCGATGAGCTCTGGCGGTAAACAAATCTCCTACTAGGCTTTCTAACACAGCAACTTGCTTCAGGCAGCTCCCCCAACACACGCACGCACACACATTTCCCTTCTAACAAAAGCCTGTTTAATATTGGTTAGTGCGTCAGCTTTTGTTCTGTAAGCGGCAGTAACTATTCCTATTTTTATAACCTATTGTAATATGTGACAGTTGATATCCCGACTAACCCAGCTCCTCACCACACACACACACCCCTACAGTATGAGACCCACGTACACTCGCATGCCCCTCCAGTTCAGTGACAACAAACCACTATGGCTTAGCTCTCGGTTTGAAATCCCAGTCCCTCTTTATTTCCTCTGTATCCCTCTGCCTTTGTATTGTAGCAGATAGAAGAGCAGGAATCCTCCCTCCCCCCAAAAAAGGAAATATCTGAATTGCACTTACTGATCTGTCAGAGGAGGAAAAACACCCTTCTCACTGTAAAGCAAAATAGCCAGTTGCAGGACGCTGCCAGTATGATGAGAAAGCGAAGAAAAATCTTCCAATAGCGAGATTACCCCTAGATTCGGCTGTTTAACCAGAAAAAAAAATAAAAATAACAACCCCCCTGTTGCCTTTTTTGTGCAGTTTCAGCAAAGCTGCGAGGAAGTTGGTCCTTTTGTTCCACTATTTATAGATTGCGTCAACATTGCGAAAAGGAGAAGGCGGAGCAGTGGCACTTACTCCTCCGCGAGAGAGGGAGAAAAACCCTGCATACACGCGACCTTAAGTACACAAC